ATATTAAGATAATTTTAATTGAAAAAATTTTTACTTTGTAATTTTTAAAAATAAAATTCGAAATTTTAAAATTAATTTCTCAACAATTATCTTATCAAATCGATCAAATTTTTTATTACTACTACAAAAATTATTGAATTTTAATATACTAATTTTTTTAAATTTTTAGCTTTAAGCTTTGATAATATGTTGATTCTTCTTTGAATTCAATTAATTTTTTTATTTTAAAAAAATTTTTTCAAATTTGGCTCACATCTAAACGTTTTTCTAGTAATTAAAAAATCTTCAAAAAAAGATATAATCTAAGTATATACTAACTTTGTGAAAGTTTCAAGATTATAGAAACTCTCTATAAAAAAATATAGGTGCGAGAAAACTTTTGTCAGATACTGTATCTGAGAATTCAAGTGATGTTTAAAGGTATATAAATTTTATTTATATGATATCAAAGCTTTAATACTCTATTTACTTAGCTTAATCAATTTAGAAAAGCTTATAAATCTTGTTATTTGCTTTAGCAGTTGGAACATTCTATTACCTAGAAACTGTCCCAGTTTCTCAAAGTTGATTATATATTTGTAGCCCAGGTAATTTGTCTCTGTTTAGGTTATTGCTCAGAACAGGCTGTCTTGAATGATTTACTATTTTAGTAATAGTAATTTATTACATGAAATATTTACTATTTAACAAAGTTATTATTACTGGGCCTTTTTGTTTACCTAGTTCAGAGCACTAATTTAGTTTAACCATTTTTAATATTTTTATGAATACACTTCTTTTAGTTAATGGAGGTATTAAAAAAAAGAAATTGATTAGATATCTAAAGTTAATATTAGTATTAGTGGTTTTGCTAATTTGATACAGTTTTTACTATCAATAATGTAAATTGTTATTAAACAACCATTTTGATGATTTTGATATATGTGTTTTTATCTAGATTAATTTGGTCATACCAGGTCCCGAACAACTTCTAGTTAAAGGCATTAAATTAGCTTTTAAGAAGAATATTTTAATAGGTTCTTTTTGTTTTTTTTGATAAATTTTAATAGCTTTATTTAAATTATTATATTATATAGCTGAAATCTGTTGTTTTGGTCTATCTTTAAAAGTTACTATCATGGAAGATTTGCTAAAATTTAATAAAAAAGAATATATTCTAACTATCAATTTGCAATTAAGGTTATTTTATTTATTATATTTCATATTATAAATTTAAGAAACTTGATTTCTTTTTTAAAAAATATATAACTTGCTTGTAGAATTTTTCTGATTATGAAAAGGCCAAAAATTTTCTAAAATTATTTATTTATAATATAGTTATAAAGGTATGAATATGCTTAAGTTGCTTCTTCATAGAATTTTAATTAACTTTTCATGTTCACTATAGATTATTTATAGTTGTCAAAGCTTCAGGTTTAGCTGGAGATAAAGGTGTTCTAATTTTTACTAATGAACAAGAAGTTTTAGATGTATTGAAAAAATAATAGTTAATATAGTACTTGAATCTGTTGATAAGATTTAATTTTTATAATATGAAATTTATAATTGTCGTGGCTGATGCTGAAATTCAAACCTGTTTTATGAATTTTTAAAAATTTTTTGTGTATTTTTTTTGATCTTTTTTTAGGGTTGGGTTAGAGTTTAGGAATAGAATTGATAATTAAAAAAGATATATAGATTTTAGCAGAACTTATATTTTCAAATAGAGGCTCTAGATCTTAGTATTAGCTGTGATAATAATTATTAATACAATTCTTGAATGTGTACCAGGTTTATAATGCAGTCAAAATTCTTAAAACTTTTTTTAGATTAAGGTTAGAGCTTTTATTGTGGTTAGAGGTTATGAGAGTATATAGTAAATTTCTCAAAAAAACTTTTTGTTCTTGTATGAAAAGTAGTTTTATATGCAATTTTTCAAGAAATAAACAAATTTTGACAAAACAGCTGTTCATTTTGAATTTTTATATTCATGTTATATTATACCTGATCTTGAAATCTGATTTGTAGTTCAGACAATCTGTGTTACAAACTTGGCACATATTCAAGAATTACAATTTGTTACATTTTTTTAATAAAGCACAATGAAAATTTGTAAAAAAAAAACTTGATAGTTATTATACAGAACTATAGGGCTAAGTATTGTTCTTGTGAAATTTGGAATATTTGTTGAAGCATAGCAATTTTGGTTCTATGTCAATATCTTGAAGATCAAAATCCTAAAAATACTAAATCCTGATATACTAAATTCTTAAAGAACAAAATTCTAAAAATATAATATTCTGAAAATTTAAATTCTAAAAAAAAAATTCTGAAAGAACATAATTTTAAAAGATCATAATTTTGAAGAATTACAATCCTGAAAGGGTCACAATCCTGAAAGGTCACAACTTGTGACCTTTCGGGATTGGATTGTAATTCTTCAAAATTGTGATTATTCAGAATTATGTTTTTTCAAAATGTTTTTTTCAAGATTTAAATTTTTAGGATATTATACTTTTAGGACTCTGTTCTTTAAGGATTTAATTATCAGGATTTAATATTTTCAGGATTTTGATCTTCAGGATATTGACATAGAACCAGCAATTTTGGATGTCATTAAATGATTTACACTATAAAGCATGCAAAGTTAATTTTTTATTTTATATTACCTGACTTAGTGTTGTACATTTTGACTGTCCAAAGGCTTTTTGGTACTGTCCAATGTCCAAGTGTCCAAGTGTCCACAAGTGTCCAAAGCATATACAAGCTTTAATAATTAATAAATTTGTTTAAAAAATATATAATTATATATTTTTTTATGTGCTGAACACATTTTACTTAGAAATTAATATAGGTTATTTTAATAAAATTTTGAGTAATTTTAATTTATTTAATTGTAAAAATTGTCCAAAGTGTCCAAACTTACTGTCCACAACTGTCTCGTGCCAACACTGACCTGACTGACCTATTTTTCAATTTCGAAAAAATTTTTTATTTACATCCCAATTGTGTCAATTATTCGATTTTGCTGGTTTTGTTTTTGTCATTTTTATCCGGTATCACCTGATGGAGACCTTACCATAACTATCCAATAGGCCGACTGAAAAAAAAACGACTGCTAACCCAATTTTCTGCTTCTTTGTTATGCAAAGATTAATTTTGCATAATCTTAAATGTAAACGTGGTTCTGTTAATTTAAAGTAGATTTGAAAAAAAAAATCCGACTGACCGACCCAATTTGCAGATTTCACGTAATGCAAAACGAAAAATTAACTTTGCGTGGCTTAATAGAATGCATTTTACGTATAAGAAAATTTTTGTCATAATTTACAATTTTTTAATAAATAAAGAATTAATATATTTAAAAAGTTAAATCTATTTTTAAACCAATTTAATATTAAAATTCTCAATAGGAAAATAGAGAAATTAATTTTTATTGCCAGAATTTAATTGTTTATTCCGATATCAATTATTATTGAAAACAATAGTTTTTATAGTTAAGAAATTTGACAATTAGATCGTAGTATTATAAATTTTTCACACCAATAAAAAGCTTATAACTAGTTTTTTTATAATAATTCAATATCATTCTAAGCTTTAATATTTAATTTATGATTGGTAAACTATAAGGAAATGTGGAATTGAAGCTTCTTCTTTATACACAATAATTTCATCAAATTTTAAATCCTTTAAATTTTTGACAGTATTAGGATCTCCACATACGCTATCATACCCAGGTGGAGGACTTGTAAATGTAAAATCATTCTTAATAGGTTTATAAATCCTTCCTAAAGCCACACTATTCAATAACATCATTTTATAATTTATACCATCACATTTTTTTAAAAAATTGATACTAAAGTTGTCACATTTTGATGAAATGGAAGAAAAATATATCCCTTTGCCAAATAATCCAAACTTTGCATGTTCGAGTTTGTACCCTTCTTTCAAAATACAACAAAGCGAGCAAGACATTTCAAAGCATAGCTCACCATCCTCAAAGCCAATTGTGCATGTTCTTGAAAATAAGTGAATATGATTAGAAAAACATTAGAAAGTTTTTTTTTTTGTTTAATGCAGTGTCGTCAAATTAAGATTTGCAAATGAAAATTCGAATTTTCACCTTATCCATGAAAACTGCGATATATACAATATAAATAATACGATTAGTGTTGGGTCATTCCATGAACACAATAAGATTAATACTCTATTATCAGTTCTACAGTTATAGAGAAGTAACGTGCGTATGTACGCATGTCACTAAAGTACCACGATTTATCTAATGAACATAACATTGATTGTGAATAATTGTAATTTTTCAGGGTTAAGTCCTGAATAGTGAACTTAATTTATATGTACAGATCTTAACTTGACAACACTCATATATTAAGGATTGAAAATTTACGTCTTTGTTCCATGAAACAGCCTTTGCACATTTCCTACATCTTTTCGATAAAGATTGTGTCGAGAAATTAAATCTTTTGGACAAAATATTTTCCATAGTGAAACAATTGTGGGAACAAGTTTATCTAAATGTTTCCAGGATGTTAAAAATAATTCCGAGACATATTTGTAATCTCTGTCGTTTTCATGAAGCTTATACAAAAATGGTTCTAAAAAATTATCATATTCTTTGTGATTAAAGAATATTATCAAGAAATAAATGAAAACACGCGTACTATATAAACGGAAAATAATAAATGAGCACTTTAAATGAAGATATATACCTTGCCGAATAAAATTTGAATCAGCTGAAATATTTGATGTTTCGAGTATTAATTCCGACTGATTTTCATGAACAATGAACTCTTCCATTTGGTTATTATGAAATAAATTATATTTTTGAAAAATTTTGACATATTTAACTGCCAGTACGTATTTGGAAAATTCTAAGATCGAATTTATCTATATAATTTATACGTCATATTCGATCATTTATTAAAGTGAATAATTTGGCCGATCACCATCTTTTGCTGTGAAACCCCATATAAATTGACACTTATTTTTGATGTAATGTTGCAATTATATATAGTTACGTACGTACGTTAATTTTCTATTTAATCACGTGTATTTTTCAGCTGTTAAGAGTAGAGATGGGTTTCATGCGTGCGCATTAATGCGCATTCATGCGCATGATTCCGAACCATGCGCATTTTATCCCATCAAAGATTTTATATAGGAAAATTTTGTTATAATAAAATTTATTATATATCGGTTCAACTTTGAATCAAGAACATTATTATAATAAACACAATATTATTTACTTAAAAATTAGTAGGTTTTGGATTCAAAGTTGCTTCTAAATATGATTATAGTATATTAGGTTTTAAAATTTTACGGTGTACAAAATCTTGCATATTAATAGATAGCTGTCGAGCATCTCAGCATCTCGCTAGAATCGCTTTCTAATTTTTTTTTAAATTTTTTTTTCTTTTCGTCTATCCTTGTGACTGTCGTCCAACAGGTCACATTAATTCATGAATGGCTGTCGTTCCGACAGGCCAACGATTCGTAACAAAATATACCGAAATATACCGTACTTGAAAATTACACGTGTATTTGAAAATCCTATGACTGTCACTGATTACCTATTGATCCCTCGAAAATTAGAATTAAATGGTTAACTAGAACTTTCCATTGGGGTGGGTGGATGGGATCGACAAAACCAGACTAAGTGTCGGGTTCGTAGAAGAAATAGAGTTATTTCTTCACTAACCATTAATACTTAAATACTATAATTAACTTAACTCATACACGTCATCATTACTAATATACTACTGATTCGATTTGCTGATCGTAATTATTACTTCATTTTTCTTACTCTAATTCATTACTAATATTACCTCATTCTAGAAATACAGGTTAACTACTCACGTGGCTGTAATCGGGCATGACATATGCCTGATCATGTGCTGATTCGAGACAAAAGCTGCCTTGATACTACAGCTTTAGGTCAATCTAAAAAATTAACAAATTTAAAACAAAAAATATATATATATAAACAAAATAAGAGTTATAAGATTT